CTGATCTTATCGAAAGATTGTTCATTTGTTCCCAGTTCTGAACTTCTTCCCAGTTAGCCCTGATCCCAGACCAGCCTAAGAGGAGCACTGTCTTCATGTTTTATATGGCTTTGTCACTGGCTTTTAGCTTGTCTTTTACATTTTTCCTTTCTTCTGGAGACACACTAACCTTTACAAAATGAAAATTGTATCTTTACCTACATTTTGGGTACCTCAGCTCTGGCCCACAGTTGGTTGGATATTCCAGTTGGTATGCCTTTATAACTATACTGGTCCCATCTCCTTAAGCATGAAAAGTACAATGCAAGTGGAAAGAGTTTCTCCATATTGAAGTATCCATAGAAACTGCAGGGTTTATGTATTACATAGGACTCTGTGCCCAACCTCTTCCATTACTTAAGAATGAAGGAACAGCTAATTTTCTCAAATATATAAACTCAGTTAGAATAATTTTTCCTATAAAAAACTGACATAAAAGACTCAATCTTGAGCTTTATAAAACTGTTTGATAAACCGATTTACTGTCCCCACACAGTGCTGCACACAGATACAGAATTCATGCTGCTTACCAAACTAATATCTCTGCTCTTGAGAGTTATGAAGCATACAGCTTACTGGTTTGTAGCAATATTTTTATTCATATTCAGTAAATAAAAAGGCAAACTTCGTACTTGGTGCCATACTAGTACTAGTGCATTCATGATCTGGAAGTGTTTATATCTTTATTTCAGTTTTAAGGCAACAATTCATATAATACAAATTTGGTTTTTTCAAGTCCAAACAGGCACTTAGGCACCAAATTTTCATTCAGCCTAAATGAGAGCCTAGGTCTTTTAGATGTGGAGTCTTCCAGCAGCAGCTTGGGAGGGGGACAAAACACATTATAGCTAGAGGTTTGGGGAGCACCAAATTGTCTCTGACTAATGGAAGCTTACTCAAATCCTTCTCCTCACATAACATACTCCACACCCATGAGAGCACACTCTTTATGCTGCAGCTTGCAATCAGGAGCACATTGCAGCTGCACCAAAGGACATTACGTAATGAATACTCCTAGGTACCCCTGGTTTTGATGTAACTCTCCATGGTGAATCTTAAAGAGTCCCATTACTTCAACCAATGCAAAAAAAATAGCATTAACCTGAACAAGAATCGCTCTCTGTCAGATTCACATGGAAAATAAATATATAAGGACTAGAAACTACTAATTCTGAGTATCCTGGTTCCCCAAGGGAGCCAGTACTTGTCTTCCTGATACCACAGGGAAATGTGTTCCTTTCAGTAATTCAAAACACATCTAATTCCTTTCACTCATTAAATTTTCCAGCCTGGCTTGGTGCATGTTTTTTTTTAATGATGTGAGATGTTGGTCTGAAGTAAATTTTTTTCTACCAGGGGAATATCTTGATGATTCCCAAGAATGTCAGTTGTGTGATGCATCCTGTCAGAAGTGCATTGGACCTGAGCAGGACAACTGCATCAGCTGCCCGCTCACAAGGTAATTGTCTCCTACCACAGTGGAGCACAAAGACCTCGCATCATCATCTGGAGAAGTGGCTGTATGGTCTTTAGCACTAGCTTGCAGAGTCGACTAAAGAAGCAAGCAATGATTAGGGAAAACAAAATCAGGGCAAGTGAGAAAACAAATGTTATGTGAACAAGACAGCTGGCTACACAGGCAGTTGGTGTTTAGCCAGATGATTCCCACAGATACAGCAAAATTTCTTTTAATGCGTGAAATAGTCTTTCTTTCATTGTCATCCTTTCAAAATCATAGCTGCTAGAATCACAACAGTGACAAATTTAGCAACAAGAGTCTAGGGGATCTGTAGTTGTACACAGCTATGGAGTTTGGCACAAGGCATGAATATGGACGCTGAGGCTAGCATTCAGCTAATTTGGGAGATACTTGTAACACCTAAACATCATCTGTCCCCTAACAGAGGCATTTTAATTTAGGCTGATTTTTCTAACCTGCCATGAGGTGTGAACAGAACTAGAATGAAGCTTTACCACAGGACATTGCAGATCAGAGGCTTATGTTTAGGTCATCTCTCACCTAATCCTGGACTTTACTGGTTTTAAACTCATATCCTACCAATAGCTTTATTCTTGCGCTGATAGCTCTGGTTCTGTTGCACTGGATTGCATAGCAGCCAGCTGATATTTACACTGGTATGAAATCAGAATTAATCAGGTCCTGTAAGGCACAGAAAAAAAATCCCCAAGCAATCCTGCAATTTACTCTGCAAATACTATGGTATGGCTATGCCAATAAAAGACACCAGGACCAGTGGACTCCAAACAAATTCCTAACTGAGGAAACAGTATTGAATTAAGGTGTGTTATGTTAGAAATGGCATTAGCACAGGAAGTCTGGGCAGAATTTTGGACTGGAGACTGGATTTCTCTGATTCACAATTGCACTTAAATTAGCCTGTCAGTGTTTCATTGCAACCTATTTTGTGAGCTTTACACAGACATATCCGCAAAACAAAGAAGGTACAGAACAATGTTATTAGGCAAAACCACCTAGGCATTTACAGGAATGAGGTCTCTGTGACCTTTTGGAAAGGTGCTGCTGTCTCCCCCGTAACCAATCTTCTAATGGTTTGCAATGTTGGTATCTAAGGTTTCCAAAAGCTTTCTGTGCTCCTTCTGCACATTATGAAAGCTGCTAGAAAAAGTCATATTAGGACATTCCGTAGTAAAAGAAATAATAGTAAAGAAAAATCTCACCAAGAGAATAAAGTGTAAATCCTTCCAGTGGACTTTATTCATTATGTACTTGAAATAGACTTGTTTAATTGAAGCAGAATTATAAATCCTGTCGCTCTTGAGAGCTTCAGATCATGTCTATTGAAGACAGAAATGAGTGGCCATTAGATAATACAGACTAAAATTCAGCAGTGCTGCTTTCCTACAGGGGAACACCTTTCCTCATTGAAAAGGATGAAAAGCCTTGGCAGGGGGGATTACTGAAAAATAATGTGAAAATTAAAACATTGAACAATACCCAATCTTTGTGAAAATTCAGCAGTAGATGTCACCTTATTTCATAATAAAATCCCTGTCAGATCATCTTCTTTGACAATTCAAAATGCTGTGACCTGTTTTTAAAAAATTATGGCATTGTATTTTTTTGTCCAGCCAAACTGATTTTCATGAAATTCCTCATCCATCTGTTTACTGTTTGAGCTACAAGGTTAGTGACAAGATCTGACCTGCCGGTGCCTTTCATTAGGGGCAACATAACAAAGAGCAAGAAAAATGTACTTTACCACTGTGTGAGCTGTTTGTAAGGATGGCTGTCATTACAGCTGGTATATGCAGTACAATACAGTAATATTTGCATGTCATATAAGCATAGCCCAACTACCTCTCGTACTTCTGTCACATTGTCCCATTTGCACAGAAAGCAACCAGAGATGGCTGCAGTCCCCATGAAGAACCTAATAATGATCCTAAACATGCAGGTATATGAGCTACAGTCTGCATAGAACTATCTGACTGTCAGACTCCAGAGCAGAGACACATCTTTGCTGAATACTTTGTACAGCCATACAGGCTTCTCCCTGATTCCCTCCAGCAGCCTGTCTTCAGCCTCACAAGACTTTTTAATCAATTCCTAAGTTTTCTTTGATACATGTGCTTCAAGAAGGCTGTTTGCATGATAGCCTGTTCTTCTATCTTCACATTTCATAAGCCTAAACTTTTCCAATCACGGTAAATTTTAAATGGTTTCAAAGACTATTTGACAAAATTGGTTTTAAACTTTGCAGATATTTTTCTCCCCTTCTTTCAGAATAAATCTGACAATGACCATAGCAACTCAAATTTATGAAGGCACATTGCAGACATTCTCTAATGCCATTGGCTGGCTCCAAGGAAGCATGCACTATCTTAATGGTATGGAAAGCCTGCTGTTCCTTAGGTATATGGACAAGCTGATAGTCTCAAAATCTGTACTAAGATCCTGAATGGTGCTCAGCTTCTCTAGAAATTGAGTCCCAAGTCCTCAGATATCAAACTGGTCAAAGGAGTTAAGTGTGGAAGATTGCAGTCTCTCCTCTCTTATTTTCTTAATATTGAAAAGACTGCCAAATTCTAGCCAACTTGTTTCATATTCTTTTAATAGTCATATCTGTATTGATGCTTTTCTACTTTTCTCCCAAACAGATTAAAACCAGTAGACATTAAGTAGCAGTGAAAAATGCACCAGAAATTTTCATCATATAAAAGGATTCTGTAGCAAGTATTTCATTACCCAGCCAAAGCGGAACATTTAGCAGCAAAACTCCTAAGTGTTTGCAGATATGCAAGTCTAAAAATACAGCTCCTAAAGGCCAAGATTCAAACAGATGTTTGACTATATGTACAAAGTCATTGCTGTGAAGCCATAGTACTGTTCACAGGAAGCCTTTGCAGTAAAACTAATAGGAAACTTCAACAGATAGATCATTCCTTCATCGAGAAAGACCAAGTCTTCCTTTCCTTCTAATAGACATAAGTGACCACTGCAGGGATTGTGGTAGAAGGACATCTAGGTACAGGACCAAAAGGTGATTTTTCTCAGAAAAATCTCAGAAAGAAATAATCTCTGAAGTCTAAGATCCAGGTTCAAAACATGGTTAACTTTCCACTTAATAAATACTATAAACAAGATCAGGAAAATGAAGGAGTAATGTGTAAAGACTCTTGTAAACAGAGTGAATGATGGGTTCTTGGGTTTCTTGTTAGTTTCCTTTCAATTTAAAGAACAAGTAGTTCCTGAATTTGTAATTATGCCTCTCTTTGCCTCAAAAGAGTCTTTGATGATGGTAGCTGTGTTATGCAGTGCCCCAGAGGAAAGTTTGAATTCAAAGGACAATGTCATTTGTGCCATCATACCTGCCTGGACTGCAGTGGAAGTGAACCTAACAAATGCACTGCTTGTGGAACAGGTAAGAAAGATTTAGTCTTGCAGCTTTTTCCCCTTCCTTGGCCTACCTTTTCACTCTGCTCTCAGGACCAGTTATGAGACCCAATAAAGTAAGTAGTGCTTTTGCTATTGACCTGCATCATAATCTTGTTTTAACCCTTAAGGGAGTTGGAACTCAATTTATTTATTAAAAAGTACAAGAAAAGACAACTCTGCATTGTCCTTGCATTTTTATGCATTTCCCTTGGTATGTTTTGAATAGGAGCTATGTTAACAGAAACAGAAGTAACAGGGGGAAAAAAAGGACAGAAAATGTACTGTGCTGGTTTTGGCTGGGGTAGAGTTAATTTTCTTAGTAGCTAGCATGGGACTATGTTTTGGATTTATGCTGAAAACGCTGTTCATAATACAGAGATGTTTTCGTTGTCGCTGAGCAGTACTTACACAGAGTCGAGGCCTTTTCTGCTTCTCACACCACCCCACCAGCAAGTAGGCTGGGGGTGCACAAGAGACTGGGATGGGACACAGCCGGGACAGCTGACCCCAACTGATCAAAGGTCTATTCCATACCGTATGATGTCATACTCAGCATATAAAGCTGGAAGAAGAAGGAAGGGGGGGACGTTCGGAGTGATGGCGTTTGTCTTCCCAAGTAACCATTACATGTCATGGAGCCCAGCTTTCCTGGAGATGGCTGAACAATAGGAAGCAGTGAATTCATTCCTTGTTTTGTTTTGCTTGCATGTGTGGCTTTTGCTTTCCCTGCTAAACTGCCTTTATCTCAACCCACAAGTTTTCTTACTTTTACTCTTCCAATTCTCTCCACCATTCCACTGCAGGGGATTGAGTGAGCAGCTGTGTGGTGCTTAGGTGCTGGCTGGGGTTAAAACATGATACCTACATAGCCTGCTTCTGGAAAAGAAAGCACTATACATCCCTCCCCCAGCCTCTACACAGTATGTGCTACACTGAAATGGAGCAAGCTTTCTGCACAAGCAGGCAGGGAGCCAGGGTGCTTTCCAAAACATCTGTCTGGGGAAGGCTAGGAAGCAAGCACAGTGGGTTCCACTGCAGAGTGCTGTGTCCCTACAGCTGGGCAAATGGGGCCTGCAAAGAGAACCTTACCACTAACACACATAGAAACCTGTCTTTTTGGCACATTTTTATAGAGCTTAAGTTGACAGAGAGGGTAATATAGTTAAATTTGTGGTTGTTCCAAAAAGCAACTCCTCTCCTTTTGAACGTCCATTATAAAAATTATTCCCTCTCACTTCTGTAACACCTGATGGGCGAAGAACTTGAGGCTATTATATACCAGTATGTGTAACTAGCCTGAACAACCCTTGGAAATGACTATATAAGATTTAACTTTCAATTCACTTAATAAAAAGGAATTTTTGATGAGCTTTTTCTGAGGACTCACAATGAATTCATGGCATTTTTCCTTTCAGCTGCTACTTCCAGTTCAGTCCTAGTCACTAATGGCCCAGGTTTTATTTAGTAATAAGTGTCGAGATAACAAGAAAACACCAGTATGGCTGGCATTAATTTGTCATACTGATTATGAGATTGACTTTCTGACTTTGGGAATGTGATTGAGTAGACAAAGTTTTCAAATGGTACTTCAGGTCCAGTATGAGGGAGAAGTTTGTATAATTGTTCCCCAAGTCTCTCCCTATGGTGGACAGCAATATAAATTTCTGTATTTCTGTGTATCAAGCAATGAAGACACTGATGAGAGTCACACCCTGAGGAGGCTGGAAAAGATCATTCTAAAAATTTGTACATGAAAAGAAAAAGAAACAAAGTCTGACTAGTTCTGCTATGGTCTAGCAATTATTCCCTATTATAGATGCTTTCTCTGCAGTTTCAAAAGTAAATTATGGTAAGCAAATTCTTGCTCTATAGTTAAAGCAAACAAACACATTTAGCACAATGATGTATGTAATTTATACTGTAGGGACACCCATTAGAAAACTCCCCGTGTTGCAGCACATAGCACATGGAGTTGTAGGTGTTTTCATAGGTTTCATTCAGCAGTAAGGGACCTCCCAGTTCCCCATGCACTAGAGAATGCAATTGCTCTGACAGCAAGTAGATGCACACTTGCTATTCAGATTCAAATCTTTATGATTCCAGATTCTAGCTGTGACTAGGATGAGGATTACAGTTTAATCTACTACAGGTACAGACTGATACTTTCCAAAGGTGAAGTGGGCAGCTTTGTTTTCCTAATGGCAATTCTACATCTGCATGTACAATACAGTACAAATACTTGTATGTTCACTGCAAGGGAACTCAGTAATGGAAAACTCTTCAACCTTATTTGATTAGATTGATGGATGTAAACAGTAATTATTCACTAGCATGATATCTTTACATGTCATAAATCTCCAGGAGTGTGGAAAGTTTGAGGGTCTGAAGCTTTTATACATTTTAGCTCATCTCGTGTAAAACTGTACAAATCTAGCAGTCAGTGAACAATATTAATTCTCATCAACTGAAGCACCAGTGTTTCATAAGGCTGTTTCTTATGCCCAAATGTTCTCTGTTCCTGACATCTTTTTCCTGTTTGTTTGCCACACAGATAGAAGAGGGATCGAACGTTTCCTGTATCATGGGGAGTGCAGAGAGAGCTGTCCTCCAGGTCACTACCATTCAGAGCACACCTGTGTTGCTTGCTCTGGCCACTGTGAGGTGTGCCTGAACTCCAGCCACTGCAAAAGATGTTTCAGAGGCTACTACCTTAATCAAAACATATGTCAGAAGCATAGTTGTAGAGAAGGTAAGCATCCTTCAGTAGGAGTTAACAAATACTCAATTTAATCTGTTACAGAAATGTGGTTAAGGGTCTTGGTTCCTGTTTTGAAATACACAGTCACATCTGATCCTGAGGTCCCTAAACTCCAGCTCTGATTCTCTTCTAGTATTATGTTAATGTAAAATAGGAGTAATGTCCTCAAATTGAGTGGGGTTACACAAGAACAAATGAGAGAAGAAATTGGTGTGAATCTTTCTTCTGTTTGGATTTGGGTAAAGTTTATTTCCAGGAACCTTGCTGAGTGCTTCCAAATGTTGGCCTTCCATCATCTAGGATTAACCCAAAATTGGTGGTTTTCAAAACACAGGTGAAGTGGATGATCCTGATTCTGAAGATTGCATACCTTGTTCAGATGGATGCCAGAACTGCAAGCAGGGTAAATATTCCCTTTATGAACCCTTATCCTTATTCTTAAGGTAGGGAAAAATTATTTCTCCTCTCTTGTCACAAACCTATGTGCATGCTGCTGAGCCATTAGTCACTGCTGCATTCTCTCACTAAGAAAACTGTACTATTCCCAGTATATTTTTTTAAACACCACATCTTAATTCTATAATCTCCAGCATAAATAAGAATAACTTTTGTATTAATTTAGCTATTAATCTCTGCAGCACTTTTTTTTCCTCTGCTTGAATGCCACACTTGGGCTGAGAGATTTACTGACTTTCTGGAGACATTATCAGACACAGAACTTTATCATAGATGTTCAAAATTTCTAGGCCTGAAAATAGATCATTAGCCTGTGCTTTTTCTTTAAGGAAACAGACATAAGGACAGACCTTAAATTTCATTCAAGCGCAAGTCACTGCAATAGCAATGCTACTGCTCTAAAAAAATACTAAAACATGGATACATTTTTCATGCTGTATTAAAAAAAAGTTCCTTCTCAACATAATATGATGTTGGCAGAGAGTTTGTTGTCTTCGGATAAATGCCATTTAACTTATTGAACTCAATCAAATCTGTATTGCGTAAATGTAAGTGGATGCATCTAGCACAGCTTAACTCTGAAGATGCTTTTGATCTCAATAGTTCACCTTCACAGAAGACTAAAAATGTTCAAAAGACAACGCAGTTCATTGTTTCCACTGTGTTTATATTATGAAAATTTTATTTCCTGTGGCTATATGGACTGGAATACAACTGATCAGTAACTCAAGACTGAGAGGCAACAGGGTGACCCATCAGAAAGGCAGTCTTCACTTACAACCTCTTAGATAAATTTCTTCTCAAGAAAGCAGAGTTTAGGTAAAGTAGTGCCCAAATGAGTACTGATATGCCAAGATGCTTTGATCATGATTCTATGATAAAACCATCTACATCGCAGAAAGTAAGACTTTGCCAAAATCTCCTTGAAGGATTATGTAGAAGAAAAAACTAGACCTAAGCTTTACTTCTTCTGGTGCAAATCTAGAGCAAGTCACTAATCTGCAAATAGTTACCTGGAATTGCTACTTTTTAAAAGAAGGAACAAAAGTGGCTTGCTATATTTCCAAAGACCCTTTTTCAAAGTGTTAAAATTAGAGACTACCAGGATTATGCATCCTCTGCCTGAATTCAAACAGATTTCCACAGACAGAGGAGTTTGTACTGGGCCCTCTGGTTTCTCCCACTTGCTCCCTAATGTGTTTTGGGGCCTGGTGTGACAGTCACTACCGTCAATACCAGGAGACTGAATGTTGCTATACAGAGGAGACTGAATAGCAGGAAAGAAAACTCAGAAAGCACGCGGTATGGAAAAAACAAAACAACCAAAAAAACCCAAACTAATAGAAATTAATTCCCACCACCAGTCACAACTGTTTTGATGTTCTTTCTGCTTTTGTGTCAATATTTTCCCCTGGGAAACAAGGCTATCATGAATGCTTATGCATACCAAACTTAGGTGAGGATTTTCATCACACACTACTTTCTTCTTTCTACCAGTCATCCAATCTAATATGTCATACCATAAAACTCCCTATGACTCTGGTGACCAGCCATTCTGCACTAATGCAGTCAAGCCTAATGTTTTCCTGTGTGACCACACCTGTAACTTTCTATATTGCTGAAGGAAGAGCTTGAGGAACCAAGGTTTAACATGATTGCAACTACACTGTGGTCTTTTTTCGTATGGCATGGTATCCAGATTCATGTCAGCTGTCTGCTTGGTCGTGGGGAGAAAAAAGAAGAAAAGTTAAGAGGGAGAATCTGTTTCAATAATAATCTTTATTGCTGCTATCAGGTGTTACTTTCCTATGGTAATATTTCTGGTGCTCTTCACAACACTTGTGACTTAAAACTCTTTATATCTCTTCTGCAGCTGTTTAGTGCCAATCCTTGCTTTGAGTGAGGGTGAAATGCATTATGAATAGCAACTTTTCTTAAAAATAGTCATTGTAAGTAAATCAGAGGCTGATTTTCTTTGTATGTGAGCTTAATAAGCCTGCATAAGGAGACTGCAAGACTGTTCATGGGTAGCTGGCATACAGAAAAAGGGGCTGTAGACATTTACCTTTGTCCTCAGAAGATCACTCATCTCCTAAATATTAATAATCCATAATATTCACTACATATTTACTCTCAAGTTCTTGCACTCAATTTTCTGATTTAAAATAGGCTTTTCAAAAGCTTCAAAGACAGCAGGTAAAACAAAGACTGAATTAACTTTCACTCCTGACTAAAGACGGAAGTATTAAGATGCCAGACTTTGTAAGGGGCATACTATTAAGAAAACTCTTTGGCAGTTACGATGCATATATTACTGAGAGTCAAAGAGGTTGGTTTAATGTTAGCTCTATTTGGAACAGAAGCACAGCAGTGGGTTAAAAGCAGCTTTTGAAAATTACCATGTGTTCCTGAAATAAAGCATGACTTGTAAACTTCAAACTTAAAATTAATCAGGTAGAGATGTTGTTTGCATGTGTTTCTGCTCTTAATATTCAATGAGTTTTCTGGCATATCAATAACTTAATTCATAGATAAGATGAGCACAGTAATATGTTTCTCATGTCTTACCAGAAAATTGATATATTTAGAGACTTCTGAAAAAAACCAGCTGAACTGCCTCTTAGAAAACAGAAATGGATTATTTTGAAAGCTGTAAAGAAATTACACTGCTATAAAAATAATTTAAAATTGTAGTATTTCAAGGTGAGAAAATATGGAACGTGGTACACTTAGTTTCACATCTTTATGGTCTTTCTACAAACTCTCCTTTTAAAATCAAGTAAATGCTGCATGATTTTGCAGTCTCTCTTTATCTTATCTTCCTTTCAGCACCACTAAGTAATTTAATCTGAGTAAAAACTGTAGAGCAGGAGTAGGAAAAGCATTCCAGTGCTATGAACATTTCTGCTAGAAGTGCAGCGGAGGAAGCAAAATGTGGTAATCACAGCAATTGGAGTCAAAATTCTATAGTTCACATACTGAAAAGTAGTTATTCATATACAAATGCAAATACTTTTCGTGCGTACTTATGGATCTGCAGAAGACTCAAGATCATACTCTCACAAAAAATCATCAGGCACCTGCTCTTTCTGAAGTGCTTTGAGATCATTTGCTACAAACTGTAAGAGATAAAAATAATTAACTACTTTAGTTTATACTGAGTGCAGGGTCACTTATAGAAGCTGTATGAATTTTAAAAGGAATATCAGACCATAGTGACATTACATTGTAAGCTGGGAGCAATGAAATACAAATGATTCTCTAACTGTCTACAAATTACAAGGTTAATTGATAATTTTTTCTTTTTTTTAGACACATATCTAGTTTTAAGGAGGGATGTATGTGCTAATTAAGATAACTGAACTGCCTGTTTTCCTAGTAGCCTGAAGGACAAGTAATTTTTGGCCAAAATGTTTTTTTCACAGGGCACCAAAGAATGGATTAAACTGCCATCTGTGGTCTAGGGCAATGTTGTCCGGCTTTGCACAGGCAAGAAAATGCATCATATTTACTCTCTTTTGGCATGATGCCAGGTTCCAGCAGACTAGAGCAAGTAATGGAGGCAGATTGTGTGAGAATTCTCTCCTCTTGATCAGTAGTGATTCTACAGACAGATTAAGACACAGGTATCATACTTTTCTATCAGTTTAATACTTTACATCCCATGTCAGACATTTCAGAGAAGAATGTAAAACGCACCCAGGGAGTAACACTGCAGGTTAGTGTTCACCTCATGTGAGGATACTGAGGTGGAAGATTGACAGTGTTTGTAATATTTTCTGGGATCCTCAGGGCATGAAGTAAAACCTGTCTGTTTTCCTCCAAGTTTAGACCCAGTTTTGTTTTAGGGTTCCAGTGTGGCAATATATCTTTACTTTAACTACATTGAAGGTCCAAGAGCAAAGATAGAGACTGTCAGAGAGACTTAATCAAGGATAGATAAGTCTTGTAGTTTAAATACAGATGATGCTTTTTTTTAAAATTCAGGCAATACTTTCTTTCTGATTCACTTCATTAATTTGGAGGCTGCTCGTATTTTAAAGAGATAAAGAATCTTTACTTCTCATAGACACCATTGTGCCTGCAGACACTGTCAGGTTCTGGGGTATGTAGTAGGAAAATTGCCTCAGACGGCACTAATCCCGACAGGATCTATGCCTTTGTGTACACAGTGTCAAAACAATCACTATGCACAGCAGGGTTCACCTCCCTACCTTCTTCTGCCCACATGCTCTCAAATGCATTTGACTCTGCTTGCTGCCATGCTAGCCCAATTGGCATGCTCAAGCATATCTCCCATGAGATCTGAAAGGCAGACTCTTGCACAGGCATTGAAATCTGAAGTGAGAGCCAAAGACAAGTCAAGTCTCAAGGGTGACTTCAAAATGTATGTCTGATCCTAAATTTCTACAAGTTGCATTCAAATATATTCCTACTGCTGTGCAAGCAAACGCAAACACAAAATTGGGCAAAGTGTCTCAGAAAGTGTGCTGAATAAATTTCAAGTCCACACTTCCAAGATTTTATTTATGACTTTGGTACCTCAGGTCTGATAACCCAGTTTTGGACACTCTGAGCCTACTTTCTAGAGCGGCAATGAGCTACTGCTCGCTTTGATGCAGATAGATCCATGGGAACTGCAGGTTTTCATCACCTCTGACCATCAGGCCATGATTAATTTTTAATGACTTGTCTTCTGGTGAGCACCAGAAAACACCATGAAGTCTACAAAATTAAATGCAGTTTCCTCAAAGGCAGCTTTTTAAAGAGAAAGTTCTGCTGAAGCAATGTCATTAAGGAGAAGGATTTTCTTTCTGCCATTGCAGCAGCTACCTCCCACCCCTTCAATGGAAGTTCACTTACTCACAGATTTAGATTACTTCAGGATACCACCCATATTTTCTCCAGACTCTTAAAACTGTAATGAGCTTCAGAAACTTTCTTCAG